CCCCCACACACCCCACACCCCCACAAAAAATACTTATACCCTTTCAATTTTCAAAAGAAGAGGAGTATCCCAAAATATCTTGTATTTTTAACTGCAACTTATTCTTTAAAAGTCTACATTCTAACTTCCTTCTCTCCTCAGAGTACTTAGGACAAAAAAACATGTTTTACTGTCTCTTCTTGAAAACAAAACTCGCAATTACCTGCTGGATGTTTTCCCATTTTAAATAGTGTATTGTTTAAACCTGTATGACCAAAATGTAACCTGGATATAATGTTTTCTTATTTTCTACTTCTTCCTGTTCCCCTCATTTCACCAACTTTCCTTTGGATACTATAAAGCCATCTACCAGTTTTTTCTTCTTCCCACTGCTTCTGCCATCTTTCCTTAACCTTTTGTTTTATAACAGATTTGATTTCTTCTWTACTAAATGGAATCAGTATCTCAAAGCAACTGTTTTTTTAGGCTTGTTTTGCATATTTATCTGCCAACTCATTTCCTTTTTATTCCTACATGAGATGGAACCCATGTAAAAATGACAATTAATCCCATGGCCTGAATTCTATAAAGTAATATATCTGAATCTCCAATAAAAGGTCTGGTCAACTATTAGACTGATTATTTTTAATTGAGTATAATAATGAACTTGAATCAGAACAAATTACACTTCTGAAAGGACGCACCTCTTCAATCCAACCTAATGCCAAAATGATTCCCGTCATCTCCCCTGTAAACACTGAGACGCCATCAGAAATCCTCTTACATTTTTTAATACCAAATTCTGGGATGATAAACGACACCACATTGTTGCAACTTAAACTCTTAGAAGCATCTGCATATACTTGAACATAACCATAGTATTTATTTTCTGTATATGATTGCACTAAGTATGATTCTGAAAAACTTCCTTTTTTTTCTCTTCTCCAACAATGATAAGTCCACAACGACAGAAACCAGTTCTTCTTCTTCTTCTTCTTCTGGGTTAATGGCGGATCGCAAACAACGTCCTGATGCATCTCAGTAATCCAGGTAAAAAATCAAAAAGAAAAAAATTGTATAGGTCTTCTGGAC